GCCACCGTTCTGGCAGGCGTTGGGCATCAGCTGGCACTCGTCCACGTCCTCTGTGCAGTACTGGCCTGCAGGGCGGGCGGTCAGCCGGATGCCGCCAATTCTCCCCACCCAGGCCTCACTAGGGACCCCCCATGGACCCTCCCCCGACGGGCGCCGGGTCCTCTCGGACGGCAGGCAGGACCACGCTGGGGTCCATGGAACAAGTTCCCGGGGCAGGGCCCAAGCAAACAGGGTCAGCCCACAGCAGTCCTCACACACTGGCCAGCACTACACTGGGCTGGCCCAAGGGTCCTCACCCCTCCTCTGCCACCCTCAGCACTCTAGCCCTGTTGTGCCATGGTCCACCATCCTGACCACACCAGGTCTGAGAAGGGCTGGCAGCGGCCTCCCTCCAGCACACCCCTGTGCCCCTGGGGAGGGGAGACCACTGCGGGCGGGCGGTCACTGCTGACAAGGGGCTGGGTCCAGCCGCAGGCGGCAGTGAGTAAGGGTCCTTCCTCCCTCTTCTGTCCACTCGTAGGGGTGTGTGCCTTGTCTGAATACTAGCGGGCGTGGACCCCACGCATGTACTAGAGGGGATGAACCCCGTGTGTGGACCAGTGGGGCTGTGTGTACCCTGTCTGTACACTAGTGGGGGTGGACCCCATCTGTTCCAAGTGGGGGATGAACCCCATGTGTGCACCAGTGGGGGTGTACACCTTGTCTGAATACTAGCAGGGGGTGGACCCCACATGTGCACTAGCGGGGGATGAACCCATATGTGCACCGGTGGGTGTGTGTGTACCCCATCTGTTCCTAGTGGGGCTGGGTCCCTTCTACGCACTAGTGAGAGGCATGGACCCCCATGTTCCTAGTGGTGTTGGCCCCACTCACCCGTCCACTCGGGTGGGCAACGGCAGTTGTAGGTGTTGACGCCGTCCACACAGGTACCCCCGTTCCTGCAGCTGTGTCCCGGGCAATCATCTATGTTCTCCTCACAGTTCTGCCCGGTGAAGCCTGCGGGGACAGACGGGCCGGTCAGTCCCTCTCCTGGCTCCAGTCTGACCCCACTCCAGGCAGAGAGCTGGCCCTGGTGTCTGTGAGTAGAGCCCGCTCCACAGGCACGGGGACAGTGTTCCGGAAGGCTCTAGTGCTCCAACTCTCTCAGCGAACAGCCCCCGCCCGGAGTTCCAGGAACCGGGCATTGCCAAGGCTGGGCTTTGGTCTGGGTTTTCTACGACACCCCAGAAGGCGGCCCCTGCAGTGAGGGCGGTGGGCCCAGGTGCCCCCTCCCCGCAGACTGAGTCCCCAGGTAGGCCCACCTCTGCCTCACGGATCCCTGTTAGCTATTAATCCACCCAGCTCCCTGCAGAGCAATTATCAACCCAGAGAGGTGCGCCTGGCGAGAGCGGAACCCGAGGCCGGTTACTCATTAACACCTCCAGGGCACCCTTGAACCCCTCTCCCAGGACCCTCCGCCCACCAGCTGCACCCCAAACCCAGCCTGGGCCTCCTGGCTTGTGGATGATTGACTTCTCTCTGAGGGTGGGGCCGCCTGGGGCGCGGGGCTATGGACACACATCCCAGGGGGGACTCCCCACCACCGGGCCCTGGGCCCCAGTTCCTCTGCCTCAGTCCCCGCCCTGTGAAATGTGACCAGAGAGCCTGCCCACACTGGGGGGGGACCCCGCTGGCACACTGGGGGGGGGTGGACCCTGCCGGCACACTGGGGGGGGTGTGGACCCCACCTGCACACTAGTGGGGGTGTGGACCCTGCACTGGTGATCTGTCTGTAAGCTAGCTGGAACAGCTAGGCTGGCAGAGTGCAGGGTTCCCCTGGACCCCTCAGAGGGTCTCCTGGAACGCTGACCTGGGACAATAGGGGAGGAGCAGGCAAGGTCCCTTGGACAGGAGTGGGGGTGTGGACCCCGTCTCCATTCTCTCCTCCCCGCTGGCAGCCTAGGGCCTGGACACCCTCAGAGGCCTGGCTCTTGGTGGCCTCTTCTTCCTCTCACCAAGCTCCACACCCCACCCCAAGGCTGGAAGCCAAGCAGGGTTTGAATCCAGGGCCTGGGCAGGCCAGGCGGGCAGGTGGACACCCCCCCACATGGACAGGCACGCGCACACATGCACGCGTGCGCAGCAGCCCGGGCTGTGGCCACGCGGGGCCCAGTCACCAAATGACTGGTAGGAACTGCTCGCTTGGCTCCTGCGAGTGGAGGCTGGGGCTTAAGGAGGCCTACCACTTCCCCTTCTCAGGGCTTGGCGGGGGGGGCGGTCTCTGGGTCACCCCAGGGTCATGAGGGGCCTGGGCACCCCTCCCACCCTGGCACCTCTCCAACACCCACCTGCCCAGCCATCCTTGCTCCCTTCCATGGGGATGAAGCTGAGCAGAGGGTGAGGGGGTCCCAGCCCCGCCTTGTCCCCACCGTCGTCAGCGTCACAGCCTTTATTTTTAGATTGGCAGCGATATTGACTCAAACCAAAACCACAGTGCACCTGGGGGAGGGGCTGTGCCCGCCTGTCCGCTAGGCCCTCAGCCCCCACCAGGGACACAGCCTGCGCCCATGGGCGTCTGGGGAAGTGACAGTTCCCTGGGGCCTGGAGATGCCGCGGGGCAGGCCTCGGTCACATACATGGGCGCTGGGCCGTCCTAGGGCATCTCTTCTCACTGTGGGGTACAGGGTGCCTCTCCCCAGGCCCTGCCCTGCGGGGCCACCCTGTCCAGCGTACCTGGCAGGCAGGCGCACTCGTGGGTGGTGTCTCCCGTGGGGCGGCAGGTGCCCCCGTTCTGGCAGGGTGAGGGGCTGCAGGGCAGGTAGGGCAGCTCGCAGTGGGGGCCGGTGTGGGTAGCGCGGCAGGTGCACTGGTAGGAGCCCACCTCGTTGCGGCAGGTGCCCCCGTTGCGGCAGGGCCCCGGGCTCTGGCTGCACTCGTCCACGTCCTGCCGGCAGGTGGGGCCGTGGAAGCCAGGTGGGCAGCGGCAGATGTACGAGGCCTCGAAGGGCAGGCACTGGCCACCGTTGGCACAGGGGTTGGAGGCACAGGGGTCAGCCTGCTGGCACGTCTTCCCTGCGCAGTGGGAACCAGGGAGCGGTCAGGGCCATCTAGAGCAGGTGAAGGCCCGAGTTCCTTCCAAAGCCAAGCTCTTGAAGCTGCCGGCTCCCCAGGGAGAGCCAGGCCCCTTCTTACCAACCGGGGGTGGGGTGGGGGGGTGGCGTCCAGACCCTCACCTGACCAGCCCGGGGGGCAGTGGCATTTGTATTCATCCAGCCTCAGCAGGTCGCAGGTGCCACCGTTCCGGCAGGGGTGGGTGAGGCAGGCGTTGTCCAAGGGTGTCAGGCAGAGCGGGCCGGAGAAGCCCAGCCGGCAGCTGCAGGTGTAGTCCACGGTGCCCCCACGCTCCAGCACGTGGCAGGTCCCGGCGTTCTTGCAAGGTGCACTGAGGCAGGGGCTGGGCACCTGGCATCGTGGGCCCACGAAGGCACCGCTGCAGCTGTGGGGAGAGGCCAAGCTGTGAGCTCCCCGCCTGCCTCCTGCCCACCACACCTGGGTCTCCACTGACCAGCCCCCGTCCACCTCACGAGCAGCAGGCACCGCCTTGTGCGGGGCTCAGGTCCGGAGGCAAGGAGGACGGTGTCTTTATGTATCATGTGGCAGGCCCAACTCTGGGGCCCATGGAGGGAGGGAAGTCGCCCCTCTCTCATCACGTTAAGGAGACCCCCAGGGGAGAGGCTGGCCCCACAGCGGGCACTCACATTCACAGGGAGGGCGAGGAGGCCGAGGTCCGCTCACAGGACCACCTGTGCCAAAGGGCCACCCGGCACCATGCCTGGGTTGGGCTCCTGACCGCTGGGGGCCTGGAACCCCATCGGTAAACCACTCATGTGTGGCCGCTGCATCCCAGCAGCTGGGGGACCATCCCCAAGGGTGGGCTTGACCCCAGGCCCGAGCCTACCCCCAAAGTGTCTCCCCCCCCCACACTCCGGGTGAGCAAGAGGCTTTGCCGCAATGGAGTCCCGGCGTTTCTGGAAAGCAGGTGAGTTTCCGAGCCTTGAACAGCCATGTGCCTTCCTCCCTCGGTGTCTGCACGGTCTGACCCCCAACCCCATCCTCTGCCTGCCCGTGGACTTCTCCTCGGGCAACGGGCACACAGGTTCCAGAGCGGGGCTGTCCAGGAGCTGGATGCCCGTTTCCACGGCTGGAATGACCCAGTAGCACAGGGAGCTGCCCCAGTCTGCTGAGCCCCCAACCCCACCCTCTGCCACCTGTTGGCCCAGCCTCCAGGGCCGAGGCCATAAAATGAAGGCCCAGGTCACCTGGAGGCCTCTGGGAAAGCTCATAAAAACCCTGGGACCCGCCAGACCCAGCACTTCCCAGAGCAAAGGCTCTGAGGCAGAACATCCCCCCACCCACAGCCTCCCAGGAGGGCGGCCCACAGTTGCCTCTCCACCACCCAGCTCAGGCCCTGGCCAGGGGTGGCCTCCATGCGGGCAGCACGGAGTGGAAGGTCTCAGGAAAGCTGAGACACCCCCCGCCCTGTGAGAAGACCCCCAAGCTGGGTGGAGGCCTCTGAGGGGCTTTGGGCACCTGTCTCCCTGATGGCTTTTATCTGTGGTGGTGGTGAGGGATGGACAGAGGGGAGGACGCAAAATGGCCACTCGGTCCACCATCTGGTGGCAGAAGCCAGAAGCCTCTGACCAACTGGTTCAAAGAAAGACCGCCCTGCCCCCGCTCCCTCTCCGCCCTGCGGGGCCCCCCACCCCCACCCACCCCCGCCCCCGTCCCAGCGCTGGGAGTCCATGCAGGCCTCCCCCTCATGGCTCCCGTCCAGGTCCACGCTGGGCCCTCAGAGCCGTGGGCGCCTGCCAGTGCACACTCAGGGAGCGGCCACCGTTCCCCCAGCACCCCTGCCCCTGCCTGAGTCCAGTTACAGGTGGGCGGGGCACCCGTCAATGCCTCCATTGTCAGCGGGGACTGGGCCTCGGGTCTGGCGGGGTGATGGTGGTGGGAGGGGGGTTATGTACCGCTCAGCTGCTGACAAAGCCAGGAGGGGGGGTTGGCAGGGGGTGTCACCTCATCAAAGGGCCTTGCCCCCCACTACCACCCCCTGCCCCCAGCAAACGCTGGGTGGATGCCTGAGTGGGACACGATAGCGCAGGTCTCCGCTCCCAAGCAGCCCCAGGATGGGACGATGGGTGGGGGCCACTCTCCCTCCAGCCTCAGGCCATGCCCTGCTGGGTGTGTCTGGTTCCCGCACTGTCCCGCGCAGCCTGTGCCTGCGAGGACACGCCCCGTACGTAGCCCAGGCCCAGCAGTGGACAAAGGGCGCCGGGAGCAGGTGCATCTGCGGACAGGGAGGTGGCGGCAGCAGCAGCTGCTCCAGGCGGGTGCAGCCGGCCGCCAACCCAAAGGCGGGGCGAGGAGGCTCCCCACGGGGGAATGCAGAGGCTGTGAAGGGCCCTTTGTCCCCGGCCGCCAGCCCTGGGACACCACCGTGAAGGCTCACTGCCCGCAGGCCGTTCCCGCCAGGGCCTGTGGCTGCTCACAGGCACTGCTGCTGGGGCGGGCCTCCGCGGGGGTGGACGGCCCAGCAGGTGTGTAGAGGGGGCAGCTGAGCCAGCGGGCGGGCCTAGGGGCAGCTGGGGACTCAGATACAAGGCACTCCGCACCGCAAGGTCCTTCTCCCACTGCCCCAGCCTGAGCCCACCTGCCTGCCTCTCCCACACCTGTGGAGACACCCGTCACCCCCGTTCACAGTGCCCAGACTTCCCTGGGGCTGGCGCCCAAGTTCAACAAGGCTTGTGGCCACCACCACCCCCTCCCAACCCCCCCACCCCATGGGCTGCATCCCAGCCTGATGGCCCCAACTGAGAAGGCACCCAGTTCAACCCCTGCCTCTACCCAACAGGTGCCCGGTGCCCAGCCTGGCCCAGCCATGGCCAGCCTGTGGACTGTGCAAGCACCCGCCAAGCAGACGAGGTTGTCCCTGCCCACACAGTCCTTGCCAGGGGCCCCTCACTCCCCCCTGCCTCTGTCCCCTGCCCCAAGTCCGGGCCTGCCCCCACAAAAGAAGGCTCATCCCAGCAGGTGAGCACGGTGTGTGTGGGGGGGTGTTGGGGGCAGGGGACTCCCAGTTAGGGGCTAGGTTTTTCTGGCAGACGCCCCTGCCAGGGTGCCAAGTGGCCCCGCTGTCTGGTACCCACAGGGCCAGCCTCCTGTTTGTTCTGGATTCAGTCCTGCCTCTGTGAGACCCCACCACCACCTGGCCCCTCTTCCCGCCGCGCTCCGTGGCCGCTGTGACCTTTCACCCGGGACAAATTCTAAATTGTACTGTTTTCCTTTTTCCGCTACGTGGCCATCTGCCACCCTCCAGGGGGCAGGCAACAGTGCCCTCAGCCCCAGAGGGAGGGAGGGGGAGGCAGGGGGGACTGAGGAGGGGCAGAGGATTCAAGGCGTCTGCAGGCTGAGCTAGGGGGTGGGAGTCAGGGCCGGGGGCTGAGCACTGCCCCCCTTGTGGGGTCAGAGACCAGAGGAGCCAGGGACAGACTCAGGAGGCACTCCCTGGTCCCCACTAAGGGGTGTCGAGGACTTTGGGGTGGGGGTAGAGCCCTCGGTGGTCCGTGCTGAAGGGGTCAGCCTCTCTGTGCTCAGAGAGGGTCCCAGTGCCACTGTGGGAGCTTCCAGAGCCACCACAGAGCCCAGGGGACTAGCCCGGTGGGTACAGCCCTGGCAGGGGGCGGGAGGGGGGTGTCACACTGTGACAACACACAAGGCTCCCCCGGCTGGCAGAGATGGGGTGAGCCTGAGAGGGGTGCTCCTGGGGTCCTGGAGGGGTGGGAGGCACACAGGTTGGAGGCACTGCCCCTCCCAGCCAAGTCCCTGCGTGGAGAGCCCACTGGAGTGGCAGGTGAGACCCCCGTCACCCTCCCCATACCACAGGGGACCACCCAGGACAAGGGGGGCTCTCTCCACGCTCCAAGCAATGAACAGTGCAGACAGACTCCGGGCGGGTCCTCCGGGGTGGCTGGGGGGGCAAGGCCCGGATACCTCCCCACCGCCCCTAGCAGGTCCCCACCTGATGGGGACACCTGCTCAGAAGCCCTGCCCCTCCAGTGGCCTGCTCCCTGTGACGTAGCCCAGGCTCCTGCTCTGAGGGGCAGGCACCATCCAGCTCAACAGGCCACTGGCTCTGAGGGATCAGATAGGGGTGGCTGGGGGACATGGGGTTTCGGCAACCTGCCTGGCCTGTGGCCCTCAAAGGCCCTACTCTGCAACCCCAAGAAGCACTCAAGATGGATGGTCTCAGACAAACGGGGTGTCTGTCATCACCCCCAAACATGGGAGAACCGAGGCCAGGGCGACATCAGGAGATGGAGTTACCCCTCGTCTGAGGCTTGCACACCCCAGGCCTGGGCCCAGGCCAATCAAAGCTGGGCACCGCCCCAGGCTCAGAAATGATGTGTACCCCAGTGATCCGCCAGGGTCCTTTCCTGGAGGGAACCGAACAGAGGAGCACTGAGAGCAGGCTGCCCACACCAGGGTCCCCCAGCCCACCCCACCCCACTCCTATTTGTCTCACGTCCCCCAAGAGCCCTGGGTTGGTGCTGGGGCCTCATGCAACCCCTACCTGGGATCCACTCCCAGCACCTGGGGGCCGAGAAAGCTGACCTTCCCCAGTCAGGCCTTCTCCCTGCTGCACCTCCTGCCCTCCTGGGACACCCAGAGGGTGCAGACACCCAGGGGAGCTTCAGGACACAGACCTGGGGTGGGCTGCCCTCAGGGTCCCCACCAGCCCAGCAGTAGGTTTCAGAACTGGCCCCTCATTGTTGTGGGGACAGGGGGTGTTGGCCTCCCCTTTTGTCTTGTGTGGTTAGGCAGGAGGAAGGGGGGGTGGCAGCTTCCCAGGGTTCTAGGCTGGGCTGGTGGGGAAGCCCTTTGTGGGAAGCTTGTCCCACCAGGGCAGGAAGCAGCCCCCCCACCCCATTGTCTCGCTCAGCTCAGGACTGGGAAGTGGCGTGTCCTGTCTGGACGCTTCCTGGAGACTGTGCTGTGGGCACCCTACGGGGCCAACCTCTCCACGCCTCGTAGGCACAGCCTGGTCAGCCCAGGCCATCAGGAGCTCATGCCACCCCTGAGCCCCTTGTGTGTGTGCGTGGGTGTGTGTGTGTGGGGGGGGTGACAAAGACCCACTCAAACCCTGCTCCATGACAGGTTGTCCCCAAGCCTGGGTAGGGCTGGGGGTGTCGGCCCCCTAAGTGGGTAAGCCTACCACCACAGTCACTGCCCTAGCAGAGCCAAGCCCAGAGCTGCCCCAAAGATGGAGGGCACGTGAGAGAAAGGGCCGGGCCACTGGCACAACAGCACCCAGGGGGGCGAGTTACATCAGCAAGCACAGGTGGGCTTCTCAAGCCACCAACGGACACCAGCAACCTTCCCCGGGCTCAGCCCAGCACCCACAAAGGACACCCAGGTGCAGGGGACCCAGGTGTCCCC